AGTTATGCCTGTGCCAAAACCTCCGGGTAGAGGACGGACTCCGAAGCCTCGGATGCAGTATCGTGTTCAATTCAGACACCATATGATCCAAGTGAAGATCGGTGGTTCACCAGGAAAGAACTGCAACAGACAGCTCAAGTGATTGCAGGATATGTCAAGGGGAAACTACCTGTAAATTAAGGACTTGTCAGGGAACTATCGAAGTAAAGGAGGAGGGAGTGCAAGGAATCAGCTCCTCGGCAAGCCCGATGGGGCCCTGTCACGAAATGTGGCCCACCCTAAGTGGCGGGCCTGATAATTCCAAGAGGCCTATGTTGTCAATTTTGCATTTGGGGTTCAGACAGTTGGGTCGTGTCAGTTGGTTGAGGGAAAACCCAGGCCCAGGTCGCAACATCCTGCATCGGCCCCCGGGCCACTTCTGGAAGAATGTGGAAGCAGGCCCTGAGCCACAAGCACAGCAGAAGCCACGACTGGCAGTTGGGCAGTAACTGTACGGGGCACAGGGCACAGGGCCTACCGGAAGATTCTGGGCACAGGCCCAGCGGCCCCAGCCCAGCCAAGCCAGACACTTTGTACTTCAGCTCAATGTGATTATAAAAAATCAATCCAGGCCAGGCTCTTTCCAGATAGGAAAGAGCTCGCTGCCTGGCCAGGCGATGGGGCACTTGCCAAGTTCCCAGTTGTGCGGCAGCACTGCTTGAGCCAGTGCTCGCGTGCTGTGGGCTGCACTAAGGCAAGGTGCCCATGCACGTGCGGTCATGTGTGCAGGGTGCTGCTGAGGGCAGCGCCATAGCTCGGCCTCCATAGCCTGCCGAGCTTGGGTGTACAGCAAGGAGAAGTGGTGGTCTTCGTGCACGAGGGAGAAGACGTGGGTGAGAGACAAAGGGGAGAGAGAGAGAGAGAGAGAGAGAGAGAGAGAGAGAGAGAGAGAGAGAGAGAGAGGTGTGGATGATGACGTGAGGGCACAAACCTGGTCTTGGCAATAGTGTCGCGTGAGGGCACAAACCTGGTCTTGGCAATAGTCTACAAGGGGCGACATCTTCATGTACTTCTGTGCTGCTGCTGCTGTCAAGCTCGTTTGCATTGTCCATTTGTAGGCCACAAGTAGCTGTGGGATAGTAGTCTGGGCGCTGAGCGCCAAGTAGGGGAAGGGCTCTGGATACATTGGTGGGAGTATGCTCTCATTGACACTCTTGATTCAGTGTTTGGTTCTCCATTGGTGGAATATCGGTGCAATTCTGCTTTCTGGACAGTGTGGGACTTCCTGGCTAAGCCTTTCAATTTGATTTTGTAATCTGAAATCTCTCATTTCACTATTGCTCATTTTCCTTGCAAATATGAAGGGCGCAGTGACACTATTCATTTACTTCGTCGTGCTTCTCACGTACAAGGCTCGCCTCGTTGATGAAGTTGGGCGCGACCAGCCTGCATCCCCGTGTGCCATAACAACCAACTTGTACCTGTGAGAAAGAGGCAGAGTAAAGGAGGAGAGGATAAACACGGAGAAGAGGGGTCAAGAGAAAACAAAACAAACATCGGTGAAGGGAATGTGTCGTTGACAAAAGAGAGGACATACATTGTAAGGGCGAAGCGATAACGCTGCGGGCTGTTTTCAGTAAAAAAAACACGACTCCTTCCAGAGTTGCAGGGTAGGAGTAGAATGAGTAGCTACCTTGAGCATTGGTTGACATCCGTGAGGATCAACCCGATAGGGGTTTCAAACGTGTATAATTGTTTGCTGTTCTATGGGACGCTGGACCCGGTTTCCAGAAGGTGGTACTCCCCACCAATAGACCGGAGCGCCTGCGAGGGTACTAAGGGGGGATGCTCTTACCACCCAGCCTAGTAACCCGAGCAGGAAAAAAAAAGGAAAAAAAAGGACGAGGTGGATGAACACATGTAAGACATAGCTAAGCATTCTCATTACAACAATTGTCAAAACGACTGGCGTTGAGCATGCCCACCATACATTCCCGATAATGGCATGTCAATTGCAGGCCAACATGAAGGGAAAATGGTAATCACAAAAGACCATCCATTCAGTATATCGCCCATGGCCGCAAAATGGGCATATAGTGTCCGGATGTGCATAGGGGCAATCCTCGACACAGTGTGACATGACCTTCGACATAAAAGAGATTGTGGACGATTTGTTGTGGCAAGAAAACACATCATTATGTAAGAAATCATCAACAGTAGTCATGGGCCATGGCATGGCCCATGATATGCCATTGTCAGACGACTCCCCAGTGGTTACAGGCATGTACATGGGCCTTGTAATGGCCMGGTAATGTGCATMATGCAGACARAACTGTGAAATGGAGGATTAAACCACTCGCCTGCTCGAGCATTGTGTAGTTCAAGTTGGTGGTTCCTTGTTGCTACTTGCAAACAATGGTGAAGCCTTTCTCCCTGATATAATTACAATCCCTCCTTGTTGCTACTTATAAACAATGGTGAAGCCTTTTTCCGTGATATAATTACRATCCTTTTGCTGTAGGTGGGGAAGACTGCCGTGTTCCCTGATATAACTACAATCYTCTGGCTGAAGATGGGGAAGATCAACATCAATCTGAAGGGCAATTGCGACTTGGAAGGAAGTCTGACGGTGTATAAAACGGGTGCTGCAGAATGTGAGACCACAGAGATTAGCAGGGATCTCAGRCTGGTGCAACGGATGCTGGCCAACAATGTGTAGATCACCCAGCTGGTGTTTCGAGCCCGGAATGTCTTGTGCTGTTTGCTGGTCAGTCATTTGCAGATCACCATCACCAATGTGGTCTGTGCGTGGTGGGGCAAAAATGTGTGGTTCATCCAAACAATGCTGGTCAGGCATTTGCAGATCCCCCTATTTCGTCTTTGCTTTGTGGGGTAAGCTGCGGGGCTGCATCCTGAGTAGAGACTGTCCCTGGACTCTGGAGTGTACCCTGGATAGGGATACATGGGTGAATATGGATATGGATGGATATGGACGGAAACTGCTTTGAAATTCAGCCTCTTGCAAGTGGACAGCCACGCAGGTGACAACGTAAGCAACATTGTTGGAAGAACGCAACGGTGAATGAAACGGTGTGTGTGTGTGTAAAACGAGTACAAGGCAAGATGCAACAACACTAAGTCTTATCATTCGATGGATCATGAATTAGACAACGAATGTACCTAAAACTGTCAGCATGTAAGCAACCATAGACCTTTCTCAGGCTTCGTGTATGCTTTCCCGGCTTTGAGGGAATAAAACAAACAATATATGGATGCATAAAAGGATAGCTTAGACAGGCACATGGAAAACACAGTAGTAACGGACTGTTTCCTCGGCTGCCCAGGCTTTCCACGCGGCTGAACCCTCCACAGTCTGTATATTGATGCTTTCAATCATGAGGTGACATGAACTACTTAACACCCCTGGTGTGAGTGGACAACTACCGGTAGGCAGGTACCAATGCAAGCAACAACGCAAAGTCGAACGAAACTAGGCACCAGCCGAAGCAATGACAAAGCACATGGACCGGACGGCATAGGGAAGGCAGGTAGGTGGCCAAAGGACAGAGCAAGCAGCTGGGCAGCGCAATGAACAGCACGCAACAACAGCTAGGCATCTATGYAACAAAGCAACATGAAAGCGAGGCAGGACTGCAGCCAATTTGAAACGACAGGGCAAACAACAGTGCTACTCGATAAGCAGTGGGCAAGACGGGCAGCAAGGCAAGAAGGCAGCAAGGTAGCAAAGGCGACAAAGGCGACATGGAAACAAGACCACAAGGCATTGAGGCGGCATGGCAGCGAGGCAGCACGGCAGCGAGGCAGCATGGCAACCAAGCATCGAGGCAAGCAGCACTGGGGCACGTTGAGCAGCAGGCAACAAGGCAGTAAGGCAGCAAGGCCGCAAGGCAACAACGCAGCGACGCAAACGGCAGCCAAACACTACCAAGACAGAGCATCATGCAAAGATAAGGCAAGCAGATGGGCAGCCGCCCAGCACTGACAGGCAGTCCAAGCATCCACGACCGACTGTAGCAGATCATCACTTCCTCACACCGTATGCATACCTGAACAGAGCACAGGTCGTCAGGTCCACATCATCATCAAAGACAGGGAGTCACTTCGACGTATGACTGTCATCATCCAGGGTTGACACAGACACAGGCACCCCGGACACAACCACCCGTGAATTAAACAGCGCTCCAGGTACTCTAAACAAGCAGGCACGGGCCGCACGGACTATTTGGCGCATCTTAAAGACTTGAACTCAGACAGAAGCGCACGAAAGGACCAAATAAACAAAATGAACAGCAGAAAGGAAATACAGTAATACTTAGTACTTTAGAATGAGAAAAAGAAAGAATTAATACATCACAACGATCACGAGTGTGTTGTCATACTCGCCAGTCAGTTCAATCGGACTTTCTCTCGACTCATCAGGATATTCAGGCCCAACAGTCCAACCACGAAGCATTGGACTGACGGATAAGGACTCAAAACGCCACCAGCAGTTAGCAATACCCCTCAAACCAACAGAGCTCACAGGACATCTTCAGCACCACGGCAACGTACGTCGCAACCGCCTACGAAATCACGCTGGTTTCCAGTCGCCCTCCCGCTCACTATGGCAGGCTTGTCAACACCAGCGCTCTCACTATTACAAGACTTACAAGACTTACATATGACATACGTTCACACACTCACTATGCCAGGCTTATCAAACTCCGCTCACTGTTACGAGGCTTATCACAACAGTGACATACGTTCACAATTACGCCAGGCTTATCAAACACCGCTCACTATTACAAGGCTTGCAAACAACAGTGACATACGTTCACAATTACGACTCGTAAATATCTTACACTCAGTTACTGCGTTCAAAAAATTGCAGCGTGGCCACAACCACCGTGCAGAAATACTGCTCTCCATTGCGATAGTTTCCCGGTCGAACCATGGCCTCAATGAAAATAGCAAGGTAACTCATTCTCTGCCTTTCTCTCACACTCATTCTCTTCCTCTCTCTCACAGGTGCTCTAGATTAAGACTTTTAGAACGATAAAACTTCCTCAGTTCGTGGAACCTTACATTCCTAAAACACAGACCGGATCTAGAATCCGGATGGCACACGAGGAATGACGTTGGTACTCTGAATTATCGACGTTCAAACTCTGAAATATCTCAGACCGGTTCCTTCGGGGATTACATCGCAAGCACAATGAACTCTAGGCACTCCCCTGACCATCAAGCAACGTACTGCGACTCGTTATTTTAGCCCCGATATGACATTTACAACAAATACAGGGCATATCATTACATTGACAAATACACGTAATATGTCCATACTAGCCTACGTCAGTTCTACAATGTTCGAGGCTCGCCGCATGGACATATATACCCCCAACGATTGATTCAACCAATTGACGCCCTCTATTAGGACAGGAAGGCAACACTTTCGTTCTTCCTCCAGTTGAACGACAGCTTCGCCTATTTTGGTTATCACCTCTCTCCCTCCTCCACTGCATGATCGGCAATCTCTCTCTCTCTCTCTCTCTCTCTCTCTCTCCAACGCTTTCGATCTTCCTCCAGTTGCGATCTTCCTCCAGTTGAACGACAGCTTCCACTATTTTGGTTATCACCTCTCTCCCTCCAATACATGATCGGCAATCTCTCTCTCTCTCTCTCTCTCTCTCTCTCTCTCTCTCTCTCTCTCCTTACCCTAAACCCCAGTCAACCCTTCTTCCCTCTCCCCCATCCCACTACGTTTATCGCGCCCTCACCCTCGAATTCGCGAAATGAACCTAACAGCCGCTTCGAAAGCCATATTGATCCTCGTCGTTTTTCGTACGACGCAAGTCTCTCTCTTCGAAATCCACGTCTATCTTCATTCGTACGACGCGATTTCGACGTTCTATCTGCACGAGGCACACGCTTTCAGAAACTTCCTTCTCGTTACACGCTCCCCTGAGTCCCTCCGCGTCCTCTTCCTCCTCCTCCTCCCCACATCTTGCGTGGAATACGAGAGTAGACCCTAAACACACACACACAGCGAATTCTAGTAGGCGTCGCAGAGATTCCGAGCGGAGTTGTGGATCGCGAAAGAGACGGCGGCCGCTGGGAGGAGCTTCAGGTTGTTGACCGCCAGTCCGCCGTACAGCGCGCCAACTCCCTCTCTCCTGATGATCTCCCTGACGGCGTCCATCATGCCGGAGTAAACCCGTCCTGCGGCGGGTCCCATGGCTGCTTGCAACTGCATGCGCCTCTGAACGGTCTCCAAAGGATAGAGCGCGGTTTGGGCACACAGCGCAGCCGCCGTGGCTATCAATACGATTGCCACTGGCCCAGGCTCTGCATCCGCACGGCCTTGTCTCTTCTTGTACCAGCGCTCCACTGTGGAAAAGGCATACCCGCTGAGGATAAAGTAAGGAATGGTGCGAAGGATCTGCGGAGCTATGCCGTCGTAGAACCCCCTTACGCCTCGGCGTCTCATGATCGCTCTCCCGATGTCGCCAGCCCCTCTTCCGTCTGCCCCGGCCACTACTCCAACACCTCTGCCACCTGTCCCCGGTGTCCCGGCGCCGCCCACACCTCGACCTCCATTCCCACCCACTCCCCCAACGGTATCCCGAACTGCCTCCGTCACTGCCCCCGCCGCCGCCCCCAGCCCGCGGATCGGCGCTTGCACTGCAACTCTTAGTGTGTCGATAGGATACGAGGTAAGAATTCCGGCCGTTGATGCCAGCGTCGCGATCGCGTTTCGCTGCCAATCAGGCATCATCCATCCCTGCCGTCTCTGCCCCTCCGCAGCATCCGCACCGCCTCGTTTCTTCGCCGGACCTGCTGTGCCTTGCCTAGTTGGGTCAAACCGATTGGTCAACGCCCTGTAGACTAGCGCCTCCACCAACTTGGCCGGATACAGCCGAAGAACGTTGAGGAGATTACCTCTCAGAAGCCCTCTGTCACCCTCGGCCGTCCGGATCCGGTTCAATAACACGCGAGGGTCCTGCCTCGCCAGACTGGGATCAACCATCTGCATGATCCTCATCCTTTCTAGGGGACCGACGACGGTTCGAGCGACTGCGCCGGAGATAGAGGCGGCGACCACGTCTCTCATGGTTCGCACCTCAGGGAAGCGAAGGTTGGGCATCACGCCACGCTTCTCGAGAGCGAGGGGCAAGTTGCAGTCGAAATCTCCGCCGAAGTCAATCGCAGTTCCAGCGCGTGCTGGTGAGCCCACAACCTCTTCAGCATCCCTCGCCCACAGCAGGTACTTCCGCAAGTCTTCGAACCCAAACCCTTCGGACGGAGGCTTGCCCACGCTGGCGCTCACCAGCCGATCATCCTGATACACCTTCCTAGGCGGCAGGTTGAACCTCTTCAGAGCCTCTGGAATAACCTCCTTGGACACAACACCCCTCTGTCGTTTGTCCAGCTCCTTGAATGTGGCATGCAGCCTGTCCTCCAATCCCCTCGTGAACTCCGCAAACTGATCAAACGTCACACGACCGCCCGCCTTCTGCACATACTCCTTCACGTCCTTCCGAGAGACGGGGAGTCTCAGCTTCTCCACAGCTCTCCTTAATTCCTCCTCGCCAATAGCACCGGATCGATTGCGGTCAAACTCGTCAAATTGCCGCCTCAAAGTGGAATTCTGCGGGGGCTCGTCGCGACCTTCATCCCGACGGATTGCCACGACAGGGAGACATAGCCGACGCCGCCGCGTGCCTGCCACCGTAATCATCGGAGCCCCATGGCCAGTCCTCGACCCAGACTTCCCACCGCACCCACGTGTTCCAGGTCCCACTTCTTCACCATCCCCTCCGCGACCATCTGATGACGACAACTGGCGTCTGGATGACCCCTCGCCGCTGCCCACTTCTGCACCCTTTGTGTCTGACGTCGCCCCCAGGCCCACAAAGACCACGGAGGTCGAGACACCACAGGGTGAAACAACTGCCCCACCGGTTAGATGGGGACCCATCACCCCATTCGCCCAACCGATCGTGGCACGGGGTAAAGAAAGTGCGCACGTTTGGCGGTTCTTTGCAATGGCCTCCATTGCGCTTCCTCTGACACAGGCCCCCGTTCGAACGAGGTCAGGTGATCGCCGAAAGGCAGCAATCTGACTGATGGGCGGTGCCTCTTCCCAGCCGCTGGCGACGTAGGACTCCGGGCCTCCACCCCAGTTTCCAACCTCGGCTGAAGCTCAGTGCGTATGTGATCGTCGTCGGGATACCCCGCTCCCTCCCCGCTCACTCTATCATCGAACACTAACCCGAGCAGGCAAACAACAAACCAGGGCTATCCTCTCGTGACGACAACGGTGCCTCCCCCCCTGCACTCTCTCCCACATCGCCTGCGATAGCACCAGCCATTCAATCACGAATCTACTACTCCTGATTAGCTTATCAATCGCCTTTTATAGGAATACCTCACAGTCTTTCGATCCCTCTGTTCTTCTGCCAGCCATGACCCTTGCGGGACGGTCGTCGGTCGTGACTCCACGCACCGAGGGCCTGGTTCCACCACCCTCAAAATGGCAAAATGGCGAACGTATCTAGTCGTCGTGTTCTCTTCGAAACATGCACTCCTATGTTTGTTCGCATCTGGTGAGTGGCTGGAAGGAGCCCCGAGACACCAACAGGCAGCACCGTTTTCCGCTGTCGTTTCACACAACCCATTCCCCTGTCGTTTCACACAAACAACCCACATTCCCGGAGGGAGTCCTGCACGATGTCCCAATTGCCAAATTTCTCTATATATCTAATATATCTATTCTATTTGAGATTTCCTGACCCYWCATTATGACGAGAGTAGGCGGCCTGAACCATGGGATCTGGGTAGGTGGGGACCTACCCGCTAGATGCTGGTAAGTCAAACGCACTTTGGATACCAACGGACATCAAGTGGTGAGATGTCTAACGCTGCAAGGCAACAGTCAAGTCACTTGCCTTCTGTGTTTCTTTCCCCAGCACAGAAGTTGTCCGGTCCTTCAGGCGTAATGCATGGGATGCACTGTCAGGTCCGTATCCCTCATCTGACTCTCTTTAGTCCCCACAGACGACCTGAAYGCATTACAGTACTGTGTTTCGTCACCCGGAGGARGTRAAGCTTTGACTCTTGGCGTTGTCTTCATGTGAGTCCGTGGGAATAGCCTTCGGTTAATGAGAGACAAAAGTAGCCCAGTTTGCATGTCATAGACCTCACGGCTCGCTGTTTTTTTTCTTTTATAGGAAAAATACAGTCGAGTTGATGTAGCTCAGTGGTTAGAGCGCCCGTTGGAAATGCGCATTGTGGTATGAGGTTGCGGGTTCAAAACTYAATTACAMCCTTGCACATGGACACCGGCAGGGCRTTAGAATGACGCAGGGCTTGACACATTGGGCTGACGCACCGTAAGCTTACACAGACACTGCCTGCGCTCCATGGTGTTGTATGTCACCGATAATGTTGGGTCTTGATACTGCCTGGGTTGCTTGTGGCTGTTGCGCCTGGTTGTTCTGTTGATCTCCCCAGTCTGGCCCTRTCACACACACGGGCSGTTTGCTATTGTTGCTCAAATGGTAGTCTTCAGGTCACATGTCATAGATCACGGGTTCGAGCCTGGCTGGGGACTTTGGGGAGGGTTCTTGTCCAGCTTGGCCTGTCATCTCTTCAAACGAACAAATAGTTCSCTYTRCATAGCACTGCACAATGCACATATCTGGCCTTCGGGCACATACATCTCGCTATACGGTTACACAGAGCACACATAGACTGCGCATATCTGGCCTTCGGGCACATACATCTCGCTATACAGGTACACACAGCACACAGAGCCTTCGGGCAGATACAAAAACACATGGCCCTATGGCTCATACAAACATACATAGACTCTGGGCACACACACACACACAAATTACAATACTGGCTGGGGAGTCTACACACGCATGGCTTAGCTCTAGGGTAGGGGTAGGGATATAAGTCGCTCCGACTAGTCTGAGCTCCACCTAGCCTTGGGTAAGCTAGGGGAAGGACGGTAGGATGTGTCCACAGGTGCTGGCCTGCCTTACTTAGGTAATCCTGCTGGGTAGAGTCTCTGAATTGGGCCGGTAGAAGATTGCATGAGCCTGGCGTCCAAACTTCCCATATGGCAAGGTTCGTCCTCTTCCGCTTCCATCACGGCTGGGAGGTTGGCCCGGCCTTGGTGCTTGTCACTGCTGTCTGGTCCAAATTGCCCTCAATACAGGTAGGGTGATGGTCCTAAGTGTTGGTCACACTGAGGTAGGATAGGAGAGAAGGTTAACAATAATCGTACTTTTCATCACCACTTCAAGACACCCTTCACCACTTCAGGATGCAGCCTGCCTAAACATGTGGTTTTCAGGGTCTTCGGACCTTTCACCACTTCAGGACACCCTTCACCACTTTAGGATGCAGCCTGCCTAAACAGGTGGTTTTCAGGGTCTTCGGATCTTTTACCACTTCAGGACCATTCGGGATTTTCAGACTGCCCAAAACTCTCACTTCAGAATTTTCATTCATGAATTTTCAGCTACACGTTAACCGCTTGTGACAGGGTGCCGAGGACGGAGCTTTGGAACCCCCTGTGCATGGCAACCCATACGAGCTCGCGGAAAACCCGTGTTCAATGAACGCGTGTTCGGTCCCGTTTTTGAACGCGTATTCACTCCACGTTCAGTCTCGTTCATTGAACACGCGTGCATTACGTTCAGTTTCTGAATGGAAAACCCGCGTTCAATGAACGCGCGGTTTCAGAGCACACACACACAGGTAGGATTGTATAGTTTCATGTTCTAGCGAAGATTCATTTGATTTTTTTTTTTTTTTTTTCCATTGATTGAATGATTGATTGATTGATTGGTAGGGCCGGGGTCGCCCCCCCACCCCCCACAGGCGTATACACACACACACACGCTGTATTGTATATTTCCATGTTCTGGCGGAAGATTCATTCGATTTTGCATTTTTTTTTTTCGTTAATTGATTGATTGATTGATTGGTGGGGGCGAGGTCGCTCCCCCACCCCCAACAGGCCCACACGTACACACACACACAGTAATGTATATTTTTGTGTTCTAGCAAAAGATTCATTCGATTTGCTTTTTTTTTTTTTTGTTGATTGATTGATTGATTGATTGATTGATTGATTGATTGATTGATTGATTGATTGATTGATTGATTGATTGATTGAATGGTGAGGGATGGGTCGCTCCACACCCCCGCCACCCACCACGCGCGCGCGCACACACACACATACATAGACACACACACTCACATACTCACAAATCGCAATCCCGCTGGCGGGCGAAGGCGCAGCGCACACACAGATACACTTAGGTGACTTAGTTGTTTCTCTCTCTCTCTCTCTCTCTCTCTCTCTCTCTCTCTCTCTCTCTCTCTCTCTCTCTCNNNCACACACACACACACACACACACACACACACACACACACACACACACACACACACACACACAATCATTTTTCTGTCTGTCGGTCCTTTTCCTGTTGTTTGTCCTTCCTCTAATTTTTTCTAAGTATTTGTGTGTGTGTCCAACTTAGCACCCTTCGGTAGTGCTAAACAGTCGGTGATTCCTTGTTTGGAGTGCCAACTGCACTCTTAGGGGGGCCGATCGGTTCGGGATGTCTGTGTTGCCTGTAGGTGATGACGGATGCTCGTCGGAGTGTCTCTCTGGCTGAGTAGGTGGTGGAAACCAAGAGTCTGTGGGGTTCACCTGTGATGTGAGTAGGTGATGTGCTGCTTTGGTCCGTGTTGGATGTGTGGACGACCCCGCCTGCGCTCCACCACTGCCTTGCTGCCCGTTCCGCTTGCCTGGCAGGTAGTTCTTGGCATGTTGTTGTCTTCGTTGTGTGGTGTGGCTGGGTTGTGGTGTTGCCTTGCGCTTCGCTGCTTCGCTGCCTTGTCACCCGTCCGCTCTTCGATTCACTGCCTTGTAGCCCGTCCGCTGGTTTACCTGGTCGTGCCTTCCGCGTCCTTTGTTTGCGCACCCTGTAGTTTGGTTGCCGTTTTGGGGTTGCCTTCTGCTCCTCAGCGTGGTTGCTCTGCTGCTTGTCCGCTTGCCCTCTCGCCCCTTGCAGTGTGGTTGTCTTGGTGGTGTGGCCTGGTGCTTCACTACTTGGATGCCGTGCTGCGAGTTCGGCGTGCCGTGTCATTCCTTGCAGTCGTTTTTGGCATTGTTCAGTCGTGTTGTCTCTACTGCACTGCCTGGTGCTCCGCAGGGTTGCTGCTCGCTGCTATGTTCCACTTGGGGACAGTGTGCCTTCAACAAGGGTCAAAGGGTTCATGACCCAAACCATCATATACGGAGATTCCACAGATTGTCGAGGGTTCAGCCTCCTGATGAGTCGGTGCAATTCCGACGAAACAATCTTGTCATCATAAGTTTATTTTTTTCGGTCTTCCGATTTACTCGACTTGTATTCTTTTCCGGTTTGCCTGCCTTCGTGTGCTTGTGTGCATGTTTCGTGTTCTTGCATGTTGTCTGCCCTCCCGCCTCCACCGTGCCCTCCAACCTTTGCCTTGATGTCCTTTTGCTTGCTTTGCTCTGATGTTTTCCTTGTTTGCCTGTTCTTGGCATCCTTTTGGGACTTTGCCTGCTGGTGTGCTTGCACGTTGTCTGCCCTCCCGCCTCCCCCTTGCCCTCCAGCCGTTGTATCTTTAGTATCTATATTGTGAGCACTCAATCACGGCCTTCGTGATCCTGACAGCACAGTGAGCGGCGGTTTCCTCGTGGGCCGAATTAACCCAGTTGGACCTAATGAACAGATGTGGCAGTGACATTCAGATCCTACTGCTATCAGTCTTTCATTTTTCCAGTCGTGCGTCGTTCCATCGGTAATCCCACGCCCTCTCGTTAACCCGCCTCTGATCTTCCTTGGTGAATTCTCGGAGGGAGTTCCCTACCACTGTAGCTATCAAAACGACGTCCGTCCATACTTCGGCACGCCGAAATCGGCGTCTCTTTTTTAATGCCACGGACGTGGCTTCGAGGAATCGAGCCTCCGTCGTGATTTTGTTGGTGCGACACAAAGTAGATAACCAGGGTTTATCTGAGCTCCTACATATCCAATCGGCTGTATTGGATACAGGAGCTGTGGGCTCGGGAGACACACTGTTGACAATCTACCCACTCGACATACCCTTCCCACTAGGATGCATAGGAACCGAATAGACTCGA